TCGCAGTCGGCTCTTTAAGACAAAACAGATCCATCATGAACACAAAATAAAAATCGACTCTAAGCTTTCGGACAGATATCTCTGAAATATCTGTCTTATGTCGATGATGTCTAGAAATTGTTTATGAGCATTGGCTATTTCTTTGTGATTTGCTTCCAAAATTTCTGCTTTCATTTTAGACGTACTTTCAGCAGGTCTTTAAAGAGAATTATAAGCCCAGCTGCTTTCCTCCTCTTTTCACCTTGTTCTGCCCTGAAAGGCGTCCGGATGATACCATAACTTTACATATTTCTTTACCAGCAGCTTACTCTGTTTTCTTATTACATTATTGCCCCTTGTTGGCTAATTATATATTATTTATTTTGTACACTTTGTACAATTTTTCTTTGTTGGTATATAAACCCATTTGGGTTTATTTACCAAGACTGAGTGGCTGGGGATGCAATAATGTGTATAAGTAAATAACGAGAAATATGGAAGAGGCAAAGAAGCCAAGCGGTTTATCCACATTCATTTGAGCTGCAAAAAGTAAAGTCCAGGATGAAGTGCATAAACATTTTAGATGTTAAGAGGGATAAGACACGAGTTGTGCTCAGAATACAATTTGAATGTACAGTGGAGAGGAAAAACTCAATCGCTTTAGAACAGGGGTGGGCAATTCAAGTTCGTGAGGCCCGATATCCTGCAACTTTTAGATGTGTCTTTGGTTCAAGATGATTGAGAGAACTCTGGAGGAACTGATTGCATAAAGAGGAGGTAGGTTAGCCTTTTGATTCAGGTCTGTTGGACCAAGGGTGACTCTAAAAGTTGTAGGATACCGTCCTACAGGAACTGGAATTGCCAACGCCAGTTCTAAAGCGATGGGAGTTTTTCCTCTCCACTGTCATTGCATACATGCACAGTGTGAGGTATTGTCGTAGAGTTGACAAAATGCAAGCGAATGTCTGCTGTCCCCACATACTGATCCTGAAGGAGCAAATCCTGCAACCCAATGACTGGATGCAATCAGCTGGTGTCCTTTATATAAACTTTTTATCAATCTACTTAATAATCTGGTTGAGTTGTCTCTGTAAAGTTCTTGGAGATTACATATGTTGGCAGTATATAAAAAAAAAACTGAATTGAATAAAAGTTTGTGAATCATACCTGTAAGTTTGTTGAATTTGTGATCTGATTGTTGCAAAGTCGTAACTATATAACTTGTTTTCATAAGTTCTAGATTTGTACTCTTATAGATGAAGATCAGATCTCACATGTATCTATGAGCAGACAATAAAGCTTGGTTTATGCTTGACACATCTCCGAGGTCCGTCTGGCCACTCAGAGGTCAAGGCATACGTTTTTATTGAAGGGTATCTTACTCCATAAAATAGAGCTGAAAAGCATTCCAGTTTAGTCATCATCAATATTCTTTCTGCATCTATTCTGAAAACTCTCTTCAACTGTAAAAAAAAATAAATAATAAAAGTAATGTCTTTGATGTATTGGTAATAAATAAATGCATCAAGAGGACACAATAAATATGAGAAAATTAGCAAACGTTGGTAAATGTTTTATTTTAGTTGTTTAGGCTAAATGCAGCGTGGCTAATTATATACGTCATGGGTGTCCTCCCTTATTTGTTAATGGGTGGTGATCTGCATGTTTAAAATGTGACCCTGATCCTAATTGGCTGATTAAAATAACTGAATTACCTTCTTATCAATGTCTGCTGAGGCCTGGTAACAAGTTTTCAATTTAACTCAGGTATGTTGAAGCCCTTAAGTATTCATGATAGACGTCACTGATGGAGCTTGTGTGAAAATGTGCCTCTATTGGTATCAGACTGATGGTGATAAGGAGTCTCTAGGTAGTAAAGTTATATGTTGATACAACAGGAACCATTTAAGTCTGAATGACCCGTGGATAAGTGCTGAGTACTTTAACAAACTGTAAGCATTTGCTTTGTAAAAAGGAGTAAAAAAAACAGCTAAAAGTTCAAAGAAAGACATTTATTGACTTTTAGAGATACTGAAGAACTTGTCCATTATGTTGACCACTAAGAATACAGTCTGATTGTTTGCAATAAAAAAGTAAAACAAAGAATAAAAAAGCAAGACTTCTACACAGGATTTTAATGACAGGAATGGGATCCGTGCAGAACTTTTACAAGGTGCTGCCCATGAGCCAGAGAATTGATGGTAATGGTTTTACAGTTTAGGGCTTTTCGTGTGATACGCTGCCTCTTCTTTAAATTTCACAACAAGGCTTTTAAAAGCATAATTGATCTGAATGATTGTCACTCTCATTTCCATCAGCCAATAAAACCATCACACAAGTTATTGTCCAGCATATCTGTTGGTGTTTAACCATCTCTTAACTACTCACTGAGAATCAACATAGCACATTTTATTTCAGTTCTCACCAGTTTGGAGGGTTTTGTTTTTTTTGTTTTTTCTCTAAAACACAGCAAGATCTTATCTCTGTTAGAATTTTGTTTGGATTAGGGTTGTTATGGGGAAGTTTTTGGACTTATTAGGACAGAAGACAGATAGATGGTGTTAAGATTCAATGGAAAAATGTAAACAGTAAGATGCCTCTTTTTTCTGTAAACATTCTCACAGGCAAATTTGTTCATTTTTGCCCTCAGGTCTGATGTTTGAAAAATAAAAGGAATAGAATATAAGCCTTTTTATTGTTAATTTGATCATTGTCTGTACTTTCAGTTTAAAGAGAGCTTAAAAAAAAGCAAAATTAATATTTTTGAAGCATTTGAGTTAATATTTACTCTTAATTCTTAATGTATTTACTCTCCAATTAAAAGGCTGTTTGCATAGGACTTTTATCTCAAGCAAATTCAGCACGACAGCAGATTGTTGATCTTTAAAGAAGTTCCCAAAAAGTCCTAAATTCCAACACTCCCTTTTGTGTATATAAGTTTTTCCTTATATCAACATCAAAGTGTAAGGGTCTAAAATCAAAAACTGATTAAACAAATTTGGCTCTATCAAAGCCATGTGTGGAAAAAGATATACTCTTCCAAAAACAACACCAGATAGAACAACAGTTTGATTTCACATTGAACCAAGGGAGCCGTGCTGGGCTCCAGGAGCTCTTTCACATTATACTGCGGTGGCTCTCATTTTCTCTCTTTTATATTAATGCATTTCAAAGAAGCAAGGAAATAATTTGGATTCCAAAGTATTATAAAGATCACCTCTGAGGGTCCGGGTTAAACTTAGTACAAGCCAAAGCTTTAAACCATTGGGCAGATTAGCTTAGCCTTAAAGCACAGAGTGGCTACTAGGTGAGGAAAACAGTCGCACCACTGTTATCAATTCAACATCATAAGATTAGCGCTACTAAAGCTGTTAGATCTAAAGTACTTGGAGTGTGCTGTATAGAAACATTCCTATGTAGCAGCTGTCTATCAATAGGAGTTATCTGGTTTGGTCAGATGCTTCAGTTGTGATATTGAATCCGTGACCAAACAAGTCTAACTCAAATTACCTAAATAGTAATTAGAACTGACCTAAGTGGAAATTAGGTGTTGTACAAAACAGTCAGGAAATCTTCCTGTTCTTCTCCTTTTTACTTTTCGTTTTACTTCTTTTTTTTCTTCAGAAAATTTTTAAAAACAACACCAGTGGAGGATTAAATACAAGCCTCCATTATTACAAAAACTAAAGAACAGACTGGTGATCTCCAATGGAGGATTTTACACGGTGGCATGGCTACAAACTTGTTTATCAGTCATTAATTGGGGTTTTTTGAACCAGTGTCCGTTCTGTGGTCTGTCTGAAAAAGTTTTTTACATTTTTAATCGCTTGCATAAGGTCGAAGATCCTTTTCAGGCTTTATTTTGTGTTTTAAATTTTTCACACAGATTTTATAAACTTTTTATTCATTCATACCAAAACTAAACAAACAAGCAAAAGGCACAACTTACAATTTTTTTTAATCAGCAAGGCACAAATGACCATTTACTCATCTTGCATTGACAAACTACAGTAAGAAGCTTACCTTGATGCTGTAGCTCTGTGAAAGTGGTATGTCAAGGTCAGAATTAGGCTGGAGCTTCTCTTCAGAGCCACTTGGAACATAAAGGATTTTATCCAGTAGTGTGGTTTTAACAAGATTTGATGTGCCAGACAAAGAAGTGCTCCTTATTTAACCTTTTGTTTTTTACTTAACAATGACACTTGTTTTATTTTATGTTATTGTTTTCCTATTTACCTTTTTTAAATACAGTTTTCTTAAAAGTCAAAAAAGTCTAATAATATACAAATAAATTGAATATGTTAAAATTTTCTCTTAATATTTATCTTAATGTATCAAACTATGCCACAGAATAATTAAACTGATGTTTTATTTCAGTTAATTTTTAAGTCAGTTTCAAGAAATTGTCACACACAGGTTGAAAAAGATTAGTTTGAATTAGTGAAGGGGTGTGTTGACCAAGATGTAAGAAGGGGATAGTAGCAGAGGGAGGAAAAGGCGTCTTTATGTCTTCCAGCAGCAGAAGGCTATAGCAGCATAACTACAGCCTAAACCACTCTATCTATGATCTTTTTTAAAGAGGAAAGTTAAACCTACTTCTTGGTAGCCAAGGACTATCTTAGAAATGTATAGAAAAGTAAGATCTTGGATATATAATGTAGTTTGGTTATTGAGGGCTTTATATGTGAAAATGTGAACTTCAAACTCCATTCTGGAATAAACAGTGAGCCAGTTGAGAGAAGCTTTACCCATGTTGAAGCAACTCAATTATAATTTAGTAATCTAGTGCCCTTTAAACATGTTTTGGGGCATTCAGTATCTTGTAACAAATATATATCAAGATTGCCTGAATTCATGGTAGTTGAATGACTTGCTAACCTATTTTGCAAACTAATCCGTTCTTTTTGATGTGCGTATTGCATAGTATTATTCTGCTTTACTATAATATATAAATGTATTTTTCTACTCTGACCTCTGCAGTAGTAACTAACTGAATGTCTTATGTGACTTTTTTTTAATAGATTTGATAACCCAGCAGCTGTGAGTCCCACTCCAACCAGGCAGCTGACTTTCAACTACCTGCTCCCAGTAAATGCATGGCTGTTACTGAATCCCTCAGAGCTGTGTTGCGACTGGACCATGGGTACCATTCCTCTGGTGGAGTCCCTTTTAGACCTCCGTAACATGGCCACTGTGATGTTCTACACGCTTCTGTGCCTGCTTGCCCACTACAGCCTGCGCTACAGTCACAGCTCAGCCAAGACTGTGATTATGGTGAGTGGAGGTTTGGTCACCTAATTAACATTTTTATTCAAATGTTTTAAACTCTGTAATTGTTTCTTCTCCACAAGAATGCAAACCCAAAGCTACTGTCATAATAATTTATGTCATCCCACATTTGAACCGAGAAATGCTTTTATGTGGGTTCTTAATATGTTTTACTTGCTGGAAGAGAAAGTAAAGGCGACAAAAGTCAGTCCCTACAGTTTTAAATCTTTCTTGGATTCAGTCCTACAATTCATTTAGGAACTAATGTAATTTATTTCTCTCATCGCTTTCTCAACTTTTTCTTATCACATATCTCATATTAAACCTGAATATATTGGGTCAAATATGCCCCCTTTATTTCTTTTCCTTTTTTAGTAACGCCTTTCACACAGAGCTAGTTTTGTGCAGAGTAATTGCAGTAGGTTAAAAAAGCTTATTTATTTCATTGCCATTCATGCACAATTTGTAGCGAAAATGTCACTCTTTGTTTGGGCAAAAAATTAAGACATTTCGTCCTTCTCCTAACCCAACGTTACTTCCTCATGTATCCTTATGACTTAAACATATTTATTTGTATTAATTAATTACAGAACAAATAGATGTAAAAATCAGGTAATCTATGATGAATTGAGAAATTGGTACAAGATGAGAGGAAAATTGTTTCTAAGTCAATCTGGTTTTTAAAAAAGTTTCTTTGTTTTTACTGTACTTTTTGTTGGTCAGTTACACAGTATTCTGACTTTTTCCTTGAAAAGAGTCATGTATTACCACTTTTTCCATTCAACAGGTATTTACAAATGCCTTTAGAAAAAAAAATGTTTATAGAGCAAACAAGTAACAAGATTGATTAGATTTGTAATAAAATTCCAGCAATAAATTCTTCTGCTTCTTTCCACAAATTTTCTGCTCAGTCAAGCGTTAACTGCAGCTATTCCATTTTAGTCATGATTGAACTCTAATGCAGAGAAAGTCCCTCGGGATCTTAAGACATTAATCTAGATCTGAAGCCTGTTGGGAAAACTATAGAATGGCCTGGAAGAAATTTGTGTTGCAAAGTGTTAAAAAAACATGAGATATAGGATAATGTTGGTTAATGAGTTATGAGTTATGGTGACTAAAAATCATTTAAATATGCTTTGGGTTAAAACATAGACCTTTAAGTGTTTTAAAAAATTGTAAAAAACAAAAAAAACAACCAATTATCTCCATTTCAGATAGGTTGATGGGAAAAGTAACTTCTGGAACACATTGACATTTTTTCAAATATGAAAAATCTTTTCTAGTTTCCAATTAATTACACCTCAGCAATTCTTTACTTTCTAGATTAATTCTGGGGTTAAGGGTCTTGCTCAGGGACCCCGGGCAATTGTCTAAGTTAAGCCTTTGCGATAATTATGATAGGTTTGAGATAAATGCTGAAGCGTATATGGTGAGACAAAATTAAACTTGAAATTCATGTGTGTCAATGTCTCGTGCAAAAACAAGTATAGCATTAATTATGTAGATATTTTATTTATATTGAGTCAAATATTAGATTAAATATGACATTACTTTATAAAATGTACAGTTAACTTATTCAATGTCCATTTAAATTATAAATGGTACATTTAAAATTATGAATTAAATTAAATTTTACACATGAAAGTATTTAAGAAATGACTGCAATTGCTTAACTATATTAATATATAAATATAGAGTGCAATACTGTGATGTTTTTAGGGGGTCATCATTCTTTGGTAATTTTAGATATCATGGGCTAAAAAGTTGAATCCCTGCCATAGATTAGCATCGTCAGCATGTGGTTTCAATCCCATCTAGGCATCTGAGCTGCTTGTTTGTGCAGCATGTTGGGAGGTTGAACCTTACAGTTCTCAGTGGTAAAAATGATTGCCTATTTTAACATACGGACAAACTACTTGTTCTTTCCTGCTGGTTCTGCCTACCCAACAGTTTGGGGTTTTGAGACACCAAAGAGGTCGATGTCTTATTTAGTACTTGAACCCTTTAAGTTATTTTTCTCAGCCCTTTTACTGGCATGGCTGTATTATACTTAAGCTCTTTGGTCTGATCTCTGTAATCCTCTCAATTAAACATTTAAAGGATCTGTTGCGTTTTTACGCCACATGCTGGGTCCTAGTTTCCAACAGCCACGTCCACAGCTTAAAAGATGTAGAAGATAATTGTGCTTTTGTTCCCTATTAAATTTCCCTGCTTTACTTTACCAACCATGGATTAAAGCTGCCATAATTTGCCAAATCTTCATTTTATTGCCCAAGTTCTCTGGAGAAGTTTTGGTTTAATTTGTTTTGGACACTTCAAAGACTTTGCATCAGAATGAGAGATGAAAATAAAAAGGGTTAAGAAGAAGCAAAGCTTTTTTTTGCCAACAATAAACTTTTTCATTTGACTGTAAAACATGGGTGGCAATGTTCAATGTGGGATATTGGGGGGGGGGGAATTAGCATTTATTGTGCAACAGCCTCTCATAGCTGAAGGCTTTAATTTTACAAAAGAGCAACACAAACCATCACTGAATAAATGCAGTAATGCCTTGTGCAGTGTTTTCTCTGGTTTGCTAGTTTTATTTTGGAGTTTGTTGTGCAACACTTTCATAACGTGCTCAACCTATTTTCATGGTTGCCAGCTGTTTCACAGAGAGCATAAGACATTACTTAAAAATGATTTCAGAAATTCTTCTGTGTTTAATGTCTTTAGTGGGAGAACGCTGTTTGCCTTGTAAAATATCTCAATGTTACTCAGATAAACGACATCTGATCATTTAGGTGAAGTAAAATTTTTAAAAAATGGAAAAATCCTACATGCACTTATATGAATCTCTGATCATCTCTTCTGATCTTCCTATTAACTATTTGAGAAACAATATATTGAGATAATTCAATTTTTATTCAATTGGAAAAATGTTTTTGAAAGTGAATTGACCAGTAGAGTGCAAAGCCTCTAATATTTTCATACATTCTCCTGATAGTTTGTTTGAATGTATTTCAGCAAGCGGCTAAAATAAATAATCTTAGAATTCTGACTGGTTATTGAACCGATTTTATAGATTTGATTTATTTTTTAATTGTTGGGATTAATGACATCTTCCAAAAGTTGTAATGCTCAAATAGGCATCCTGATAGCATTTTAATGGTCCCTTCGAAGCTGAAATAGAACCCCAGCATTGGGCACCATAAGCCGATCTCAACAGATGTGGTGCCACCTCATGGAGTTTAGGGGTGGATAGTAGATAGTTACATCCACATGAGTGAAATTTACGATAAAAAAGTTAATTTAGGAGTAATGTTACTTCACTGTACATTTTATTTAAGTAATAATCTTATATGGGTATTGCTAATATTACTTGAGTAAAATTTCTGGTTATTCCACTCATTAACTAGTAACTTAAGCTAATCAGACAACAGGTAAAAATACAGTAAAATGTAGATATTGTCTCTGGAAGTTCTTTATCTTTTCCTAGAACATATTCATTATCTACTGTAAATTATTTGATGAGATTATTTTGAAAACAATAAGTGTTTCGTCTGCATGAATTTATTTTTGTTATATATTATAGTATTTATTTATTTTATAGAATAATCTGATTTTGCACATATCTATGAAGAGAATTTTGTTTGATTATTCTTGCATGCAAAGAACAGGTTTTGTAAATTGCAGTATAATAAAATACAATCCAGAAAATGAACTTAAAATAAAAAGTTTTGAGAGTAATTTTGCTATCTTTTTATACTTATTGTTTTTTGTTTGTTTTTTTTAAGTTGGCATTTTTTTAGATTGAGTTTTATGAATTGCAAGAATTTCTATTTGCAACTTATTAAATTACATTCTATCCACTTAACTGGGGCGGGCTTTCTCCTGGAGTGAGGAACGAAGATGCATTTCTATTGGTCTGCTCGACGTTGGCAACAATATTTGGATTGAGGTGAAAAGGACTGGAAAAGAATTTAAATTTGACAACTTAAAATGTACCACAAAAAATAGTATAAAGATAGCTGAAAAAAATATATAAATAAAAGGAATACAGAGAAAAGAAATTAATATGATTTTTAATAGATTCTGAGAAGTAAAGACACTCCCAGAAACTTTTTTTGATTAAGGAACTTTCCAAAGTGTCCTTTATTCATTGCTTTTTCCTTGAATATCCCTTTACAAAATAGAAATACCCAGATGAAGCCTTTCGATTTTTATACTGGAGTATCAAAACTGTTAAACCAGTGCTTCTCTTACTTAAATAAAAGAAATTAAGGACTCTACCCACCTCTGTTTAAAAACCATAGACAACATTGGGAAGTTTGGACTGTTTTTTATTTATCAGAATTTACTTTTATTTAAATGTGTCAAGCTTAAATTTATTGTTTGCTTTATACTCATATGTTTTTTAGTAGACATCTCTAAACATTTTTTGTTGTTGTTTTGTTTCATTTTTTTCCCTTGCAGGCTTTGTCTTTGATCGTCCTGCCCTTCATTCCAGCCTCCAACCTCTTCTTTCCTGTGGGCTTTGTTGTTGCAGAGAGGGTGCTTTACGTTCCTAGTATGGGGTTCTGTGTTCTTGTAGCACATGGATTCAAGATCGTCTCACATAAAGGGTAAGTAACTGTCCAAAAATAATAACAATAAATAGACCTGATCCATCTCAATAATCCAGGTAAAAATATTTTTTTAGAGTTGAGTAAGTCCACTGGATGTAAACTCAAACTGTAAAGCCTTATAAATAAGTAGATGTGTACATTATATCTCCATGTTATACGTACATAAAAACCTGTAGCTTGAAAATGTCATCTTCCTGTTAGGTAACATGACACTGGGATTAATATCCTTTATGGGAGAATGTTCGTTTAATTCAGTCATGCTTTTATTTGGTATTTGATTAGCCTGTTAAAGCTAGTGAGGAACAAACAAAGGAACATTCCGTACTAAAGAAAAATGTGTCTCTGAATCAACATAGATCTGGCACATAGAAAAAGGGATTTTTTTTTTACAATGTAAACAAGGATCTGGTCTGTAGGAATGTTTCCTTGTACAGTTTCTCTCTTTGTTTATTTTTAATATTTTCTTTGGGGATCAACGGTAGGTTGTTACTTGTTTCTGCTCTAATTGTCAGCTACTTACAGTTAGAGCTGTGTTATATTCAATCACATTAGCCTCCGACGACATTACAAAATAACTGATGAGTAAAGAAAGAGTTAAATTGCATCTTAGACTGATTAAGAGAAAAAAAGGCATCATTCATTGGTCTCCCTTAAAATCCTGATAAAATTTCATTACGGTTGCTATAAAAAGACCTACTGTCAATTAAAAATCAACAAGGGTGTGAACATTTTTGTTAGACTGTGTAGATCTTGTTCTCGTTACCATTTATTACCCCCACCATCATAGCTCCATACTGAAAAAAGGAGTTAAAGACATTAATAAGAAGTAGTCTCTGTCTGAAATGTATTGATTTACCAAAGTGGTAGAGCTGTATATAATGTCTGATGAAGGGCGTTTTTGTTTCACATAATGAGGCCAGTAAGAAGATAAGAAGCAGTGTGCATTGATCTGAAAGGCCTAAAGAGACCGTCCAGCTGTCTTTATGCTGCTAAAATAGTGGTGCCCAGTTTTAGGTTTCAGGTTCAAGCATCTCGGCGTGAAGCGCCAAAAGCAATTACTCCCGTGCTTTGGGATGCTCCACTTCTGACGTGTTTCTTGGGCTCATCTGACCTGAGCATCCTCCTATGTACATTTTCCCAACATCCTAAAAAACAGAAGTTAGAACGCTGTACATTTACAAGCCTCCAACAGTCTTCTAAACAGTGTTTACTTTTAAAGTATATGTAACATCAGAAGTGTTGAAATGATTAATCTGATAATCGTGATCAATTGATTTTTGCAATAATCGTCAACAAATTTGGAAATTAAGTCAAATCATTCACTAAATTAACGGCAAAGATTACACTGCAAAAACGATCTGAAGTATTTGTATAAGTTTCTTAAAGTAATTATATTACCCTTCAGTTGAGAAGGTAAATAAGACGACCTGCCAATGGAAGGAGTATATTTACCCTTAAAATAGGATAATTAGATATGTACTTGATTAAGACACTGCAGTTAATTTTTTTTCTTAATTTATAAAAAAATCGTCTTACTCCATTGACAAAGTTTGTCACTTAGTTGCTTAACCCAAGAAAAAATTCGCTAATTTTAAGAAAAATTGACTTACTTAGATTTAAAATTTTTTGTAGTGTTAATCCATCAATTTGCTGAAACTTATCTAAAGCGGTAATAAAGACAAATTAAATATAAAATAAATATTTTTTCCGAAAAAAATTTAATTGATTGTTTATAACCAAATAAAAACTCTGAATGTAAATGTATGTATATGTTTTTCCATCTTGCCAGTTGCAATTTGTTTAAAGTAGACAAGTTTTTTTTTGTTTTTTTTTTTTATCTTTCTAACGTTGCTTTATTTTGAGATATTAATTTAATTTCAGAGCTCTTTTACTAACCCCTAGGCATTGTAAAGTGTTAATTTCTCTTTTAAATATTATGCAAATTAAAAAACTCAAAAAAGTAAAATAAACTAAGCACCTCTCCCCCCACAAAAACACAACACAAGATTTAAGTTAATAGAAAAATAATAAGTAATTAATTGATTACTGAGATAATTACCGTAAGAGGTGCTGCCCTAAACATTACTCACCTCATTTGTCTCATCATTCGGCAACAACAGAACTTCAAGGTCTGTCTAAAACTGTCACCTACAGACAATTAAAGAAAATTTCCTGGTTGATGATTGGCGTGTTGCTAACCACACATGCAGTGAAAACTTTCAACAGGAACTGGGACTGGGAGTCAGAATATACCCTTTTTACCTCTGCCCTGAAGGTAAGAGCACATTGGCAGCTTTTCATAGTTTGAAAAAGTTTTAATTATCCCGTGATGAAAGTCTCAATTAAAATGCCTAATAGGTAACACAGCTTTGATCATTTGTTCTTCCTCAGACTGCTTTTTTTTTTTTTTTGGTTTAATAAACCGCGTGCCATTTCAGGTCAACAAGAACAATGCCAAGTTATGGAATAATGTTGGCCATGCTTTAGAGAACCAGAACAACTACGCAATGGCTCTCCGGTATTTTCTCCAGGCCACTCGGGTCCAGCCAGGTGAGATGCATCCTTAAATCATTTAGAAATTTCTTTAATAAATTGATGGTACATGTTGGTTTGCCAGGAAATGCAGATTTTTTTATTTATTTGTTGAGTGGTAGTCTTTCTAGGGAAAGCAAAAATGCTGTTTTGTCTTTAGTGAACTCCTTCAAGCTATAAGAGCTACTAATTTGTGAAGCTGTAAACCACCAGTTTTATCCAATGCACTTATAAAAATGTGTTTGGATGTCAGAACCACACAATTCTATAAAAATGTGTTTGGATGTCAGAACCATACAATTCTCATTTAATTCACAGATCTATGATCGAAACAATGCGATATCTGCCTATTAAACACTGTAATTTGCGTTACTATTAACTCTAAAAAAATGATATTTAAATCAAAAACATATGTCTTCTAATTATAAAAAGAAAAGGTTAATGATGATAATGGATCACCTGTTTTTTTTATCTTTTATTTTGAATAAATATACAATAAAAAAATACATTGTGAATAATATATCTATATCCTGAGAAAAAAAAAAAACAGAAATCCAATTCAATCTGAAAAACCTACCCATAGAAACAAAACAGTCAAACATACCAAGGAGTCAGAATATGCCCACATATTTGTTTATCCTCATTATGAACTGAGTTGAAATGGTTATGAAAAACTTACATTTATTGTCATTGAGTTGGAGTTTCAATGGAAAGAAAGGTCTGATTAATCTAACCTTTTTTTTCTTTTGCCCAATATTTTTCAATTCCTTGTGAATTTCAAAGTAAAGGCGCATCTTAAAAATAACAATGTGGATCAAAGTTTCCATTTAGCATCATTACATCATTTAGACAATGTATTGTCACACCCATACTCATACTCCACGATTCGATAGACACATGAAAAATGCAAACACAGCGATAGAGATGTGGAAAGAAGCATTTTTTTGGTCTAAAATGTAGATGTATGCCAAGGAGCAGTATTTATAGATGATAGAGGGGGGCCTGTTTTCCTGTTTTTAGTCCTGTTTCTCTCCTAAACATAGCTATGGGCCCATCTGTCTGTGACTAGCTGTATATTTTCTCAAGCCCACAGCCTTACAGAAGGCCGCTCACACTGAAGCTGGTTCTGCTGGAGGTTTCTTAATGGGAAAGTGAATTTTTTCCTCTCTGGTCTCACTACAAGCATTATCTGTATGAGTGATCACTTCAAAGTCAACAAAACAAAGCAACTGTCCACTGATGCTGTGTGCTCAACACTGTAATTTTTTTCAATCAATCAAAACCGCAGGGTTTTGTCGTACAGTGTAAGTTCACAGTTCACAATGCATGTTCTCACACTGTGTGGCCCGACGCTCTGATGCGATGTACCTGCTCACACTGTACGTCTAAAAACCACGTTGGACTCAGCTCCACAGTGAGATGGCGCTACTCGGACTCTTCTATCTGGAAGCCAAAGCAGTAGAAGAGGAATGTGAAGCTCACTAGAGAGAAACGCGCTGCCTTGGCAATTTGTGCAATTTTGTGCTGAAAGCCCTACAAATAAAAGGCAATGACATAATTGGACAAAGACATGGCTGAGCAAGCGTGGCTACTACAGTCTGTCAATTTTACAGAAAGAAATCCATTTCACCCGCACCCCCGCCATGCTTGTTTTCATCTGAGAGGAAGACGAAGAAGAATCCTTGTTTGCGCGTGCCCACTGAGTGATTTGCCAACGACGGCTGACTGAAAATCAAACATGTTTGATTTTCTCCAAACCTCATGATTCTTGATCGGAAGGTGGTCGTGGGAGGCTGATTGCCCCTCGTTACCCCCTGGACACCACACGATCATGCTGAAAGTTTGACTCAGTAAATTGCCTTTCAGATGACATGCTTGGTCAATTGGTGCTGTACAGATTAAGCAAATAAAAAATTCCAATGAATTATTAATAGAATGTGATAAGATGATTTTTGTAATAAATGTTATGTATATATTTATGCTCTAGTTGATTTTCAAGTTCAAAAAAGGTGTTAAATGTTTGTGTTAAAATGTTTTTGCCAAATTCTGGGATTTGATGCTATTTTTTCATCTTCACACCGATCACGTTTTGAGCGTCAGGTCTTTTTTACATACAAAGTCTAAAGGGTACGGCATCGAGGAGCGTCTGGAGGTCCAGCTGCACCATTTGAATGTGGGAAGCAGTGAGTCTTGCAGCATCTCAAACGTTGCTATCATTGCATTTTGAGCTTTCATCTGTCCAGCATCCGGAGTGGTGGATGTTGGCATAGGGAAATATGAACTTTTACAACTGGACGCTGAGCCTCAACCAATCAGAGAAACTGATCCAGGAGATGCCTAGGAGACAGACCCTACATGCCAGCCTTGATCTCTTCTTCTGCAGAGCTGTCATCCTAAAAACATAAAAAATAAATATATTTGAAGGGGTTAAACTCTACTGTTCTTACCTAAAAAGCCAGAAGGCTGTTATTTTTTTTTATTTACGAGGAAAAGAGAGTGCTATGATCGTTATTACTCTACTAAAATGTAAACATTAGCAAAACAGTATATTATAACAACATTAACTAAGATTGGTAAATCCTGCTGGCAAAAAATATTTGATTATATTAGGACTGCAATTAAAGATTATTTAGCAATTTGATCAATCTGTCAATTATTTTTTCGATAAATCGATTAATAATCTGATAGCCAAAGTTTCCTCAAAGAATACTTTTTGCAAAATTAAACCAGGTCAAACTAAAACTTTTCCACTTGAGGAGTTGTGGATAGAGCATACTGACATATGAAAAATATTTTTTATCTTAAATGCAAAATGTTTATATTTGTTTTTTGCAATTCAGCTATAATTTCTGATCTAAGTGGATCGCTCAGTCTGCTAAAGGCATTTTTTACAGTCTTTACTCCAGTTAACGATTAGTCGATTATTCAGTTAGTTGAAGATTATTTCAATAACAAATTAATCATGATTTATCTGATTTATTGTTTCAGCCCTACATTATATATTCTGGTACTTAGACTTTTTATCACAAACCCAAAAAACTCTTTATATTCAATAACAGTCACTGTGAACAGCAGAGTAACAGACAGGCTGTCCGGCTTCAGAGAGCTTTGACTGGGGACTCTGCACTGTCATCAACTCTGCCCTTGCGAACGAGAACACAATATTTAGGTAGGATCACAATCCTGAACTGACTGCATAGATGACTCAATTCATTTATCGCCGTCTTTTTCTGTCAACATCAGCTTCAGTTTGCTACCCTTATGTTTTTTGTTTTTTTGTTTTGCCTTGGGTCGGGAACCTTTTTTGAAGATATTCAGCATTAGCTGAACCTTGCACTTAACCGATACTCAAACAGGAAAAAGTGACATATTAGTTTCCCTGGAACGTTGTGAAGAATTCTCACAGTTGCGTTCTCTTTGTGTAAAAAATGACCCACAGGCACAATCAACACATTACATTTTTTGTTGAAGTTTAAGTTTAAAGCTGTAGTTGTAGTTTCATTCATTAAACACAAACTTGTTTCTGTTTTTTTATGAACTTTTTGCTGCCTTAAAAAAGATTAATAAAAATAACAGGAACACAAAAGCAAGTTTGATATATAAAACCTAACAGATTAAAAAAGTGACAAACACTTTAAATTTAAACTGTGAATAATGCCGTGCAAGTAAGTATAGAAGAGAGCGTTGTGTCCATGGAGAGGAAAAGTGAATGAATCCATTTTACTGATGGGTGAAAGAGGTGTCTGTTTGTGCATTTAATCTTTTAATAGTGGCTCTTGATCTCCTCTTTCCTCAAATGGTCCAGATCCAGCCCATCATTTAAGAGGTTTATCATCCATGTAGCCTTGTTTGACTTTATTGCATAAAATTTTCAGATGTGAATGTGAAATCTGCACAGGGGGATTATTCTCATTCCTAAGTTTTCAGGAACCCTGCCATCAGCTGGGAGATCATCCATTTTGTCGGTGCACCACCCACAAGTGTTTCCCCAAGATTAACAATGAAAACACACTCACCCACAAAGGATTTCCTGCTTTAATTATCACACATGGATTCCTACCGTCCAAAGTTTGGCTGCTAGTTTTCTACAGGATTTATTGTGCACCCTGACGCTTGCGAAGAAGTTTGCTTTAGAAAGTAAGTTTGTCAAACGTGTATATTTTGTTCTTACTGCAGATGATATTGGAGCTCATATGAACGTTGGAAGAACGTACAAGAACTTGAATAAGTCCAAAGAGGCCGAGGAGGCTTATCTGGTTGCTAAATCCCTCATGCCACAGGTATGTCTCATTTGGCTTACGCATTTTCCCTTAAAAGCTACCCCACCAAGTAGATTTCTTTTGAAATCTGTTTTCTTTTGTTACCACCCTGCATCATGATTTCTGTCTTGGTTTGGACTTTGCCCCCATTCAAAAGAAAGTAAACTGAGGATTGCCACTGTTCACAAATGCGAAACGGTCTCCACCTATTTGGCATGAAGACAAGATGATGCATGAAAGGCCTTTTACGTTTCCTAGGAAATTCCCTTTCTGTTTACCACCTGTGGCTGCTACACCCGCCTAATTATTTTGTTTTCTTATGTCATAGTAACCTCTAACTTAATAATGCAGCTCACAATAAATGCCAATGCTTTTAAAGCAGTCAGGATTTCAAACAGAAGTAGGTAAAATGGATTACCGTAATTCAAAATTACCGTTCTGTTCCCAAAAAACACTAAATGTTCTTTGTGTTGCTAACATTAATCTTATTTTTACTATATTAATAACACAATATTTGCTTCTTTACACTAACCAGATTATTCCAGGGAAGAAGTATGCAACACGCGTGGCCCCCAATCACCTTAATGTTTACATAAACCTGGCAAATCTGATACGGGCCAACGACTCTCGGCTGGAGGAAGCCGATCAGCTCTACAGACAAGCAATCAGCATGAGACCAGACTTCAAACAGGCCTACATCAGCAGGTAAGATGTGCTGGGCTTACTTCCATTTTCAATAAAGGAAACAAAAGTTCCTATTAATGTATTCACAACCCTTAATAACTACAATCTCCAGTATAATTTAGATGTTTGCGGGGGTGGGGTTGTCTTTTGTTTTGGCTAAAAAAAAAGTTATTTGCTTTAGTTCACACATTGCTCCAGATTCTCCCCTGGATTTTGCTTTGGGTTTTATTTAGTTCATAGTATAACACATGTATTTGCCTCATTTTTTAAAAGCAACACGTGGTTGACCAAAATGCTTTTTATGTATGTAATTTTATGTATGAAGACATAAAAAAGCAATTTACTTAAAAAAAAAAAAAAATGCGAACAAAAAAACTATCCTGGTGAAACATATTTCAGTTCATTACTGTTGACTAAAACTAGTTACAGTCAACTAAACTAAGCTGTATAAAAAGAAGAGGGAAAAACATAGCTGAAAACCATAATCGATGAGAAGATGCCATGGTATCACTGTTTACTATGGATTTTCTATTTGAGAACCAAAGTTTATCTTGAAAAATATGAATGTAATCAAATTAGGTTTAGTTTATTTACATTCTTTAAATGAGCTAGCAGACATGACAACTACCAAGGCCGCCATTTTGACGGTTCTGAGATTTTAAAGGGAAAGAACTTTATTTAAAATGAATCTTATGCTGCTCATGTTAATTGACTTTTTCTGTTTCTGTATTTCCTTCACTTTTACTTAGTTTTCTTAATTAAAGTAAAACAAGTAAAAAATAAGTATGGTTAATTTTACCTCGATCTCCCACAGCCGTCATTTTGACGGCTCTATTAGTTGCATTGCTCTGTTAGTTGCATTGTAAATTCTTCCCGCGCTTGATCTGCGTTTGGTAGCGTTGACTAGCAACCAACATTCTACGTAGAACTCTTTGGCTAATATGGAGAAATGGCTTTCAGAAGAAATCTAACAGCGAAACAGGCTTTAGAAATGCTTAAAAATTTTGATGATAGCGATTCGCGCGTAGGGGGAGAGACCGATGAGGAGGACTGGGTAGGAAGCAGCTCAGATTCTGACGAGTCCAAGGATGATCACCCAACCCTGGGAAAATGCAGACGTATCAGTGACCCTCAGAGAATAGGGAAACTTTTCTTCAAGCACTGTTCACACATCAGCCGGTCCACATCGACCGAAAAGCCAAACCACAGCCCGCAGTCTACTATAACAACACACAGGTCAGGGTGGATGTGTTGGATCAGATGATTAGAAAGGATTCTTTAAAAGCTCCGACGAGGAGGTAGCCTGTGGCTGTAATTTATAATCTGGAAATATCAGCTGTAAAAGCATTGGTTTTGTTCAGGAGCTGTTTGAATGTTACTTTTTCACGCAGTGATTTTATTCTTGAACTGGTAGAACAGTTGCGGGCAAACTTTAGGTTTCCAGCCCCTCCGCCGCAGTAGAGCAGCGTTGGCGAGGAACAGAAAACAGTGCCAGGAGCTTCAGCGCTGCATAAAAAAATGCTTATATTATGTTCGTCATCAATGTGAAAAGGTGGTCTGCAGGAAATGTTTGGGGGGAATCAATCAATTTCTGTAAATAAAATTTTTATTTTTTTTTTACTTTAAACCTGTATAGTAAAACAGTCTTATTCTACGAATTTATTTTTTATATAAATTTAGAACACAAATAATAATAGCATACAATACAGCCTTTGAAAAATATATATTAAACTTTTAAGTTCTACATATCCACAATGAGTTTATATCGCACACTAGAACCATCTCAGTTGATGACATCATCACTACTCATGCGTCCATTGGGAAAAATGTCCCCCGTCAAATTGATGGCCAGTGGGAGTTCTAGTAGGATCAGAATTCTGGGAGTGCTAGTGTTAAATGACTTTAATCATAATTTAATTATCAAAATGTGATGAGCATATGAGAAAACACATGACTCCTAATGTTAGTCTTTAAACCCCTAGTGAAATAAAACTTTTTCTAGCTTTATAAACAGAAGCTCAGGCATGTTAGCATAGTGTACCATCTGGTCCATCTTGTTACGTTTTGTATTTTTGTAACAGGAAACACATGAAATTATAAAAAAAAAATCATCAAGGAAATTATCTTGCAAGAATATCTCCCTGACTTGTGCCAGACCTGTACCTCCGCTCGTCTCCTTTGGAAAGTTTCAGTACTCTCCAGCCCTTAGTGTTGGCAGCTTAGCATGATAGGCCCACAGTAGGGGAGTTCTTCGGTTCCAGTCAGGTACACATAAAGGGAAGCTCCCTTCCACTCTCTTTATCTCTTAAAGCATCTGAAAGTTGTAAATAGTCTCTTTTGCAACAGACTGTTTGCAACATTTTTTCTGAATGTCAACCATCTACCTTTAAATGCTTAGCCACCTGGCACCTGGCTGGTAAACAGTAGAGAGGGGGAATGCGAGTGCACTGCTCAACTGACCGGGTAGAGTTAAACCTTTTAAAGATCTCCTTTAAACTGAGAGAGAAATCAAAGATAAAAAAAAAATGCTTTCTTTTTTTATTATTTTTTTTTAACCCCTTATTTGATGTAATCAACTTCAAATGAGGAGTGGAAGTTTGGGGCTCTAGGTCATTCTAAAATGCTCACAGCATGATGCCTCAATTTTCATCATGATGACAGTGTTTTCAGAGTCGATTCTGTTTTACTTCTAACACTCAGGATGTTTTTTTTTCTTATTCTGCTTAGTAAAACTTTCAAAGCCTAACCTAAACTACACTTTCTTTTTTTTTCTTTGACATCATAACTAGTGCTTGTTTGTTTACAAAGGCTTTGCAGCAAAACTCTTTCTTGGATTTATACTACATTAACATAAAAAGTGAATAGTAGTTTAGTTGAGGTGTTTTTTTTTCAGAGGGAGAGGGAAAGTGAACGTCATAAAAAAAAAAAAATTCTTCTATTTTACAGCTTTGTTTGTTATGTTGGTCCATCAAATAAAATACCAGTAAAATTTATTTAAATGTCTTGGCTTATGGCCATGCTCCTCTTTGCGAGCCTGTTTTCGTCCTGGTTCTAATAGGACGGAACAAACATAGAGGGGGGTGAATGAAATTTCAAGGCAGAGTAACAGAGTAATTACCTAAATCACAAAATTGTTGCAGATGTTGGCCCATATTGGCTGTTTGTTGCCAATCATCAAAGCTTGCAACGTGAGGTTGGTTGTTTATTTGACAGAGGGGAGCTGCTGCTGAAGATGAACAAGCTGACTGAAGCCCGTGAAGCCTATCTCCGAGCCTTGGAGCTGGACGGAACCAACGCTGACCTTTGGTACAACCTTGCCATAGTCAACATCGAGATGAAAGATCCATCCGAAGCCCTGAAGAATTTTAACCACGCCTTGGAGCTCAATCCACGCCACAAACTGGCGCTCTTTAATTCAGCTCTTCTCATGCAGGAGTCTGGTGAGTTACACCAAAGAGAAAAGTTTTTCCTACGAAGTCTTTTGTGGATGATTTGTGACCCATTACAAAAAGATGGACCAGTCCACACTTGTGATCCCTGTAAATTAACTGTAACAAAATGTGTGAGGAGATGGAAGAACACGTCTCCACTTGTCGATCCACTATACAGCATCACCCCTCAAACTGGTATGAAGGAAGGAAGTAACCTGTTATTACCTTTAGGGTGTAACGAGGTTCTTAAGAACTGGTCCCATGCTGAAGCGATCAGGGCCAAGTTTCTGTCAGTTCCTTTTTTTTGACTCTGTGACAAAGAAAACATTTCATGATCAGTCAGTTTTATCTGCACCAGGTCTGACTGGAGGGTTTGGCAGCCTTTTCTTCCTTTTGCAAATATCAGAAACCTGTTGGTATGCTTAAGAGATCAATACAAAGTCAGAGTTAATCTGAATGTTAATGCTTATATTAGTCTGGAAATCTTTTTTCCTCATAGTACTGCTTTATACAATTAAAAGCCAATTCTGAATGTATCTGTGCTTAATTCCCTGTTAAAACACCGTACTATTTCTAAATTTGTATTAATATGCTGTTAACTTAACCAAGCAGTCCCCTTAGCAAGATACCACATCCATATTCATTAATGTGAAGACTTCACCTTGGCTCTGTCTAACATGCTTCTATTCTTCTATTATTCTATGATTCTTTGTCATATCTAACCCTACAATCTATTCTCGAGATTGCATGTGGTTTGTTTTCAGTTTTAAACTGTTTATTTAGTTTTGGCTCAGGGAGGTCTTCCCTGGTTAAAAGCCTACAACGATGTCAAACAAGCTGTAGTGCAGGCATTGACACTTTAGCTTTTTCCATTTCATCCAAACTAGCAATTCAATTTATTCATTTATTAATTAATTAAAAGTTGATTGATCTTTTTGCTGGGAATATTCCACACTATATGCAACTTCAATTGCTATGCTGTGCTCGAAAGGTAAGATGTAATGATAAAAAAGTGGAGGTCGTTAGGGAAAGCTTCTGATTTCATAAACTTCATGGAGTCAAGTTTTAACAGTCCTCTGAGAGCAACCAGAACAACCAGTTTAACAGCAACAGCACATGTCTTTATAACCAGATTGCTCTCTGTTTTTAGTGTATGGAGGACCAACTCTGCCATATTTAAAAGGGCAGAGAGAAACAAGACAAAGATATTATAACATGCACATAATATTATAACATGCACATAAATAAATACTTAAAAATATAAGTAATTAAAAAATAAAGTTGAAGATTATAAAGGACAAGAAAATAAACAAGGTAAATATTACAAAGGCAAATAAATAAAGAAGGTAATTAAGAGTTATATACATTTTTGTCTCACTTTATAATTTAATTTCTACTTACATTTATTTGTTTATTGTATTTTTGTTGGCAATTAATTGTATGCTTATATACTTATTGAGCATTTATTTATTTCTGTATTTATTTTTAAATATGGCAGAGTTGGTCCTCCATATTAGTGTAATCCAACAATGTCACAGTTACCGTCCACTATGCTAGAACAATTCCCTTGACACAAGAGAAAACTGAATTCTGTATGAAAAATTGCCTCTCATCAATTAATTTTTAGTTCAATAATATCTTATCAACTTTAGATGAAGTAATTAATTTATTGATAACTTGCATCCATCAAACATTGTTTCATTAGAAAACTTCTCCATGCGCCTTACATTGTTCAACGGAGTAAATTTGTTAAGCTGTTATTTTGGTTGTAAGATAGTTATTATTTATCATAACTTATATTTCGGAAAAATGGCCCATCCAAAACTGAGACCTCAATCCCAAATAAAACAACTTAAAAAGCACTCAGAGAGCGTAGACCTCCATGAAGCAGCACAGTTTGCCCCAGATTGGTACTTTCACATATAGCTAAAACTCGCACATGATCTGGATCATTAGAGAATTTAGATACATTGTTTCTAGGCATGAAGCACACCTGGTATAAAAACAAAAAAAATGTCCACAGAATCCGTTTGGTTTAAAGTTTTCTGTCTAAGGAAAGCCAGTTGATTGCATCGACTCATTGACTTGAAAGCAGTCCCTCACACCAAGCATGCTTGTAGCGACAGTGGAGAGGAAAACTCTCTTTTAATAGGATGAAACCTCCAGCAGAACCAAGCTCAGTGTGAGCGGCCATATGCCAAGCCCAACTTGGGTTCATGGAAACAGAAGGAGAAATACAGAAAAAAGCAGAGATACAAAAGGTAACTGTCAACCAGCACCCATGTTGGAGGATGAAAGAGAGCACATACAATTAGTCTTTTCTTAGACACACGACTACACTGAAAAACAGGCCCAGCTCCATCATCTATAAACAAAGAGAATGAAGCAAAATTATGAAAAAGGGTTTCCTTTTTCCTCCAGCAGTCTAAGCCTATAGCAGCGTAATGAAAGTTACTGATGTAACTATGATTCTATGAATCCCAGATAACCGGCAGAGGTAGTGCTTCAAGCACTGAATGGTCATTCTTGCGCATGTGATGGTCGAGCACTAATGACAACAAAGTCGTCTGTGACCTTCCGGGGACCCTCATGACTATACAGTCCCATGGCACCCGGCGTTCAAACCCTCAATCTTCTCGCAAGAAGCAGAGATTCTGAGGGACCAAGCACTCTGGCGGTCATCTCGGATTCATAGAACCGTAGTTACAACAGTAACTTTCTCTATATTTCATCCCTACTGACCGCCAGAGGTGGTGCTTCAAGCACTGGAGTACTTATGTCAACAAGGTCACGAGGAATTGGCAACATTCTAAGGACAACCTCTACACCACTCATCTAATGTGATGTAGACGTGTGCTGCTCCAGGATTCCTTGAAGGGGATGGGCCACAGCCATATTCACATTGTAAAACAGAGTAAATGTACTAGTTGATTTCCAGTAGGCTGCACGGCATTTAACACCCATGGCACCACAGTCATGGCAGCAAACGATTTTGATAATTCCCTTGTAGTGTGGCACTTCACTCCTGCCGGCAGTTGCTGGTCCTGCAAGGCATAGCCTTCGAGATCTAATCCACAAGTTGCTGGTTAGAAAGTGCCTGACCCTTCCGTGAGCCAGTTTACCAAACAAATAGGCTATTTGTCTTTCAGAAGGATGGGCACGAACAGGGCTCAGTGGTTCAGAAGCACATCCAGTGTCCAACAGAGCAAGGTGGAGCAGCTGGGTACTGCCTACCGCCAGCGGCACTTTAGGGATAAACGCTACATAAGGTCGCAGTGTAATACCTGAGCCATCTCGAACTTTGCAGAAACCATAGCCAAAAGGAACACTGTCTTCAGTGAGAGCCATTTGAGGTCTGTTGATGCCAGGGGCTCAAATGGGAAAACGGTACAATGTCCTTGTCTTGGCCCACTGAACATCCATTTAGTCCGACATGCCAACAGAAAATTTCAGCCACATACACTTTTAAGATAGACGGAGACTGTCCCTGATCCAGTAATGCCTGCAGGAAGGTCAGTATGTTCTTTATTATGGCACCAGGTCGCAAAGCGCCCACTTGTTAGCATAAACTGCTTGTGTGGATGGCGCCCATGCCTTAGCCCTTGTACGCCCTACTGATGCAGTTTATGTTGAGAAAGTGAACCCCAGTCTAGCAGGGGCCAAATCCAGAGCTGGAGCTGGTCTGGTTTGGGGTGCAAAATCTGACCCCCTCATCTGGGGGAGAAGATCCCTCCTGGAGGGAAGATGCATTTGCGAGCCAAAACTGAGTTTGGGCAGTAAAGTCCTTGCAGGCCAGAAGGGGGCTATCAGCAGAACCTCGGCCTTTTTGAGGCTAGGGAGGACCCCAACCAGACTGTGCTGCTCGAAGCGTATGAGATGACCATGTCCCAGCTTGGTAACAAGCCCGGTCTCCCTGATCTGGAGCAGGTCTTTGGACCTGTCACCGGAACCTGGGGTTCAATGGAAAAAAGGAGATGGGCACGCGGGCCTCCTTGAAGGAGAAGCAGCTGCCTCAGTGCTGACTGGTTGGCAATCGCGTCTGTGAAGCCCTGCTAGCTGCTGCCTTGTTCTAGAGACCTGAGGAGTACGGTCCAGGGCATCCAATGCTGCAGAACCAAAAAGTTTCCCCAGAGCTCCAAGCAGGGCTTCAAGGGTTCTCCTACAGGGCTAGGTAAGTAGCGACTTCACCAACCAGACCTGGCAGTGAGCGTGAAACAGCTTGGAAAGTGTGGGTCAAAGCTCCCTGGTCATGAGAGCAAAGGCCAGCAGAGATGCATCAACCAGGCCTTGTGTGGCGGGGTCCACTTGAGCAGATTCAAAGGAGGAAGACAGAGCCAGCATACGATAGGAGAGAGAGTTCCCAATCCGGCCCAAGTGGGCCCCAGAGTCATAGGCCTTGCAGAGAAGGTCGTCGGTAATACGGCACTGAGGGCACGGACGTCGGGGATTCGGCTGTAAAGCCTCATCAGGTGGGATAATAAGAAAGGCAATGCCAGGTTCCACCGCTGGCATCTGCCCAAAGCCAACCCTCGGTGCCTCTTGCATAGCAAGCAGGACTCTGCCATGCATTGTCAGACGTGAAAGTTCCTTGGGGAGGAACCACAAAGGCAGTCTCTAATCTACTGCGCTTAAAGAAGGCACTGGAAGCTGCAGGGTGGGCTTGAGGTAGAACAGCAAGAGCTGTTCGAATATAGCTCTCACAGACTCCCCCCTATCCTCCTGGGAGGCAATGGAGTCAGACCCCTGGAAGGTCCTCAGAGAAATGGGTGCCAGAGGCCACCACTGAAATAGCATCGTCATCATTGACTGATGCTTCATCCTGCACGGGATGGAGAGCTGCGCTGCGATCACCACCAGCCTGAAAGGACTGGAGAAGGGCCCTCATTTTGGCCAGCTCAGTAGTGAGATGATCCATTCCCTTCATTGGCCCTCCTAGCTCACTTGGTGCAGCCCCAGTAGGCCATTTGCACTTGCTTTCCTGACGGCAACGGACTATGTGGTGCAGCAGCCTACCGATCATGCCCAGGGCGCCCATTTTCGGGCTGAAGCGGAGCCAGACTAGCCTGACGTAGTCCTACTCAATTCTAGTCAGAATATGAGTCTGATACTGCTCCATAGAGCTGTGATTATGGGGCGTGTTTTGAACGAACCAGCAAAAAAAATGCCTCTGCACTCGATGGATAGACCTACAACCAATAAGAGGCGTATGTTAAGCAACGCATAGTTGTTGTCAACAAAAACAAAGCGTGCAGTTGCACGCCTAGAATAAGAAGATGAGCCTTGATCGCGTTTCTCTGTTCCTCTTTTAAAATTAATTTGCTGTCGATATCTTCTAGAACAGACCTAATAGCAGAATCTACTCACCCCAACTCTCCAGCGGCAGCCATTGTTGTTGTCGCCCAAGCGCGCTTTGGTCACATGGTTGATTACGTTACTGTTGATCATCTGTTCATCATCGTATAAAGCCCGCCCTGACAATTTGATTGGCCCGCCAGATATTGTGCTAGCATACTCGCTCTACTGTTGAGCAATGCCAGACCGAACTTCCCGACCTCAAACGTTGTGGGCGGGACTAAGTTCGGAATGGCCCCCAGGCTAGAGCCAGACAAGTTTAGCAGCACAAATTATTCAGTATCATACTGCTGAAGGCGTGATTAGCCCGAGTCTGGTTATTAACCAAAGATGAACTCAGCACGAGCACGCCACTGGTGAGTCAGATAAATAACAACAAAGGAAGATGGACTCAGTGCAAGCAGAGAAAGCCACTGGTGAGTCAGATAACTTATTGAAGAACTCAACATGGACAGGAACGCTACTTGTGAGTTGGATAAAGAAACTTATAGAATTCAACACGAGTAGAAACGCTACAGGTAAGTCAAAAGAGCCACAAAAATTACCGTGGTATATCAATGCGAGCAGTAAACTACTGCTGTTAGAAAAGAACAAAACTTACCAGTCATCGCAGCGGCGACCGCAGATCTGTTAAGGGTGAGAGTAACCACTTGTGCAGCCCCTGGAGGGTGAGACTTACCCGCAGCTCTGACCAAACCCAGTCACAGGACTTCTAGCAACAAACAGAATAACAGAGGAACACAGAAGAAACCAGCTTCACACAACCACACCTTCACTCGAGAAAAACAAAAGAGATTGAGCACTGGGTGCCATGTGACTATATAAAGTCACATGGGTCCAAGGCTACGTAGGCCCCCAACAGGTCACAGGTGACTTTATTGTCCTTAGTGTTTGAAGCATTGCCTCTGGCGGTAGGTAGTGATGAAATAGAACTAGAGATGGCCCAGGATAACCTGAGCCACTCTAACTATAAGCTTTATCAAACAGAAAAGTTTTAAGCCTAGCCTTAAAAGTAGACCGGATGTCTGCCTCACAGACTAAAACTGGCGTTGGTTCCATAGGAGAAGATCCTCATATTTAAAAGAACTGAATCACATTTTTATTTTAGGAATTCTAGGAACCACTAGTAAACCTACAGATTGAGAGCAAGGTGCTCTATTAGGAACATAGGAACAATCATATATCTGATATCAGATGGAGCTTGGCCATTTAAAGCTTTATAAGTGAGAAGGAGGATTTTAAATTCTTTTCTGCATTCAACAGGAAGCCAATGAGGAGAAGCAAGGATAAGAGAGATATGATCTCTCTTTTTAATTTTCATCATAACTCTGGCTCTAGCATTTTGGATCAGCTGAAGGCTTTTAACTACAGTTTGTGGACTTCCTGATAGTAAAGAATTATAGTTTCTCAGCATCACTGCAGGACTGTTTCTTTTTCCAATATTCCGAAATTGTAAACCCCACTTTGATAGTAGAGTTGAATTACGGGTCTTGATAAAAAAAAAAAAAAAAAAATGATGCCAAGTTTTAAAATGTTTTTTTCTGAGATCAATTTAATCCCATCCAAATACCTCCAGACTTTTTGAGTCAGATGCTGCGGCTGTCAATAGACGCTGCTGCCACCCTCTGGTTTATTGGGGAACTAATTGTTCCACCAAATATTCCTATCACACAATGTTGGAGATCTTTTAAAAAAACTCAAAATCGTAGTGGGTTGGTCTTTGGAATGAGGGACACCGCTGATAAAAAATCAAAATCTGCACATAACTTTTCACGTTATCCTCTACAAAGACAGATATATCAACAAAAAAAACCTGTAAAAATCTGTATTATTTTAAAACGACCACTTCTTGGAGACAGTTGCTTTGATTTTTCCACTTGAAGAACTGTGAAGTTGAAAAGTATAGAATTTTGTTAAATATATAATTGCAGTTCTATGTTGTTATAACTCTAAAAATGAGTCTCTCAACCTCCCAATCACAACTCTGTATCCCAGTGGAGAAAAGGTAAAAGTTACTGTCAGATCATGCTTTTCTTCCCTAATCCAGACCTGTTCTTCATGTCTTGCGAACATCATCCAATGTGTAATGGGGATGTACGTAGAAGTAAATTGATCTCATCACCAGGTATTCCTAAACACATACAGATGGTTCCTTTCCGTCTGCTGGGGAAAACTTACAGGTCAGAACAATCTGATGCAGAAAATAAAACATTAAATACAAATTGCAACCAGTTTGTCAGTAGTTAAAGCACTAAATGCATTTGAAGAATCAGAAACATCAGAATTAAGATCGCTTTCTCAGACAGGGTTAGGGAAAACCCCCTACATGCATAGGCCACATATTATGCATAACACAGGTGAAAGCTGCAAGTTGTAGGCCACACCCTTTTTGTTAAGCAACCTGAACTGCAAAACTGAAAGCACACGTTCCAAATATAAAGAAAAACAAAAACAAAATGATCTTTAATGGGGGTGTTGAACTTATATGTTTATTCAAGAACTATGATCTACAAAGTATTTAGATTTATTAAAGTTTTAAACTTAATCTGACCATTTACCCCCAATTTACAGGCTCTCAAGAGCTAAAATGGCATATCTTGTCATAAAGGCATATGTTTGTTCATTTGAATTGAGAAAAGTGACTAAAACTGCTAAATAAGTGGGAGTAAATTTATAATACCCGAGCAATGTGTTTTTTTTTAAAGGTACATGGTCATGTTACAGGCCTGTACAGAAGAGACCAAAAACCATTTAATCATAAGGTTATATACTCGAAGCATCTCTCCTTATAGTGTTTACATAGTCCTTTTGGGGGATAAATAGGATTCCTGCACCGGCTGAGATGAGCAGACATAAACAGTCATGGCACCATCTTAGTTAGTAGTACCACAGAACTATCAAAAAGCCACATGCTGACAATTAAAAAAGCTACAAAATAGAGCCCGGCTGTCCTTCAATGCTTCGGTCAAAGCAGCAGCCAGTTGTGGTCAAAGAACAACAGACAATAAGTAATTTAATTGATTTTCGATGCTCTGCCTCCTATCAGAATATGAAGAAGAAAATGATGAAGTCAGATTTCTACTAAAAGTGCGAACGCGCGATACATACTCATACAAGCAGTGCCATTTAAAACACAATTGAGTTTAAACTGTCTCTGCTTCTTTACAGGAGAGCCAAAGTTCTGGCCTGAAGCCAACCGTCGTTTCCTCACCTATGTGGAAGAGGAACCCAATGACGCCAATGGCTACTTTAACCTTGGCATGCTGGCCATGGACGCAAATGAAAACGCTGCAGCTGAGCACTGGATGCGAAAGGCCATTGGCCTGCAGGCTGGGTTCCGCAGCGCCCTTTTTAACCTGGCTCTACTTTACTCACAGTCTAAACGGGAGGTGAACGCATTACCTGTGTTAGATGAGCTCCTACGATATCACCCTGAGCACATAAAGGGCCTGATTCTGAAAGGCGACATCCTCATGAACCACAAGAAGGACACTAAGGGTGCTAAAGCCTGCTTCGAACAAATTCTGCAAATGGACCCCACCAACGTCCAAGGAAAACACAACTTATGCGTGGTCTACTTCGAGGAGCGGGACTTGCCACAGGCCGAGCGATGCCTGGAGGAAACACTGGCTCTGGCGCCAAACGAGGAGTATGTTCGTCGTCATTTGAACATTGTACGCAGTAAGATGGCTGCCATGAGCGCAGCTGGAGAGCCGCTCTCAAAAGTGAGAGCCAATGAGGAGAAGCCACAGGAAGTTTTGGGTGTGAAGGAAGGGAGGAGTGCTGATGCTGTTGGAAAGGGAGATGGAGATGAGAAGAATGTGCGGAAATCCTCAGTAGAAGGTCTCAGAGGCGGAGGGGCAGACCAAACAGAACCTTTAGACAGTACCCAGGCTGGCAAACGAACTAAGGGCAAGTCCACGGAAGAGATTAAAGATATAGAGGAGAAAAGAGCAGCAGCTCTGAAGAGACTGGAAGAGATAGAGCGCATATTAAGCGGCGATTGATCCTGATGCAATCCCGTGCTAGACTTCCTTTTCCAGAACTCTTCAGTACTTGCAGTAAAGCTACAAACCCCGTTAAAAATGTGTATCCTTAATCTGCTGGAATTTTATGACTGGTTTGTTTTTGATTTTTACAAGATCAGTAAATCTTTATTTTACTCCTTTCAAATCACAGATCCTATAAAAGAAAACAAAAACAGAAACATCCACCACAGAATAATTAATAAGCCCACTGCCGATGTGATTTGAACACGAATGTCATATTTTTTTGTTCCTGTTGATCACTAGATTTGTGTTTAATAAGATGTGACTCACTCCTCTGTTATTGTTAAAAAAAAAAGAATGATTGTAACGCAGACAATTAGAGGAAGTGACACGTTCCCCAGACCTCTCCAAGGCAGCAAGATAAAACAGTTCACAGCTCAAAATAACCTAAGACCCCTTCACACACACACACACACACACACACATACACCCCACAACAGGCTTATGCTTCATCACAGCAGCTGATATTTATTGATCTCACTGAGAACTTCCTGCTATGAGATCATGTTTTTTATTTTCTGCTGCCTTACCAGACTGTTAGCCCTGATCTGTTTTTCACATGTTCCCTCTCTGTTCCGTCATGTAGGAGGATCATTAGAGGTGGATGTTTTGGAATGTTTTTCCTAGTAAACTGTCCGGAGGATATTGTTTCTACATGCGTTACACCCAACTTTTTTATGTGATGGTTAAGGGCGATGCACACCACTCCTAAGCAGCACCATGTATTTTTTTTCATTGTTTTCCCTCACCTCCAGAAAGGGTTACTTTTTTTCTAATAGTTCATTTGTGAAATACTGTATGGATTTCCTAGATCCTACATATCATATGGAGTGAATTTTGTTCCATTGCTGTTACAAACTTTGTAAATTGAAATAAAAGAAAAATGCAAAGCAGAAATGACACCTAAAAAAATTTAAATTTATTATTAAAAAACAGGTTTTATATGTTCAAATTATATTTTTCAAAATTTATAAAAATGTATAAAAATTCTTTGGTTTCTGTTTTTCAGATTGAGTTTTACGTATAGCCTTCTTTTAAAATGGTGTTTTACAGATCACATTTTCTTCACATAAAGCCCAACACAATAAAAATGTTTCCATAGTCCAGCAGATCAATAGAAAAGGGTATTTGCTCCTCCCTGTAGAGGAAAGCTCGCCCCAAAAGTCAAGTGACTTTGATCTGGAAAACTATATTGATGAGATTGCAGTTTGCATTCCTTAATTAAAAAATATTTGAAATAAAAAAAAAATTTACAATCTGTAAAAAGGAAAAAAAGATCTGAAAAAAATAAATTAGAAAAAAACAACTTTAAAATCTGTTAAAGAAATTTTGAAAAAGTAAAAAAATCAACAAATAAAAAAAATTGGAAAAACCCAAATCTGAGAAAACAGCTAAGTTACCATCAAGTTTTTTTTTTCAATTAAAATGTTTTCAAAGTTTCATTTCTGAATTGCAGTTTTTTTTTTTTTTTTTCAAAATTTCAATTTACAAAATGTCTTTTTCTTTAAAAATGTCCCTTTACAAAACCTGCTATTTGCAGTAATATTGGAACAAAATTCATTTTCATTGCAGCACAAAATGGGAAAATCTAACGACTCACAGCAACCAAGGCATCATTTCAGCTGTTGCATATCTCAGCCTGATTTTGGCAAACTGTACTTTATATGGATTTTCTTTTATTGTTTTCAAGCAAATTTCATTTTGCCAATTCTATTTTCAATCTTACCACTAAATAAGCGCTGTCTGGCCAACCAAAAACATTTCTGCACCTTAGGCATTAACAACTCTGCCTCATTGAAAAAAGAACCCTTGGGAGCCGCTTAATTGCTGCAATAGGACAGGCTGTATTTCTCTAAGGTGAATTTAAAAGGTGATTTTTTTTTTCTCACAGGATTTCTGATGTTCCTGTGATATCATTTTGTTCTATCCATAGCACTGAGTATTGCTGCTTGTGATTTTATTAATTGGAGGAGGCACATAAGGAGACTGATTTCTGTAAATCAGTGAGGCGGTACTACTTAAAGGCATTGCCATGCATTAATGTTTCCCCAGCCCTAAAGATGTTACTCTCCATTTATATTCAGGGTTTTCATATCCATTGTTATTTATTAATAATATTGTAAAACACCACAGGTTAACGCCATGACTTTTGTGGGGTTTTTTGTACTATTTTTTTTTCTTTTTATCATATCAAGTGTCAGATTCATCATGTTTGATGGAAACCTTACGTCAGACAGTGTTAAACATTAACTAATTAACAGTGCGCCCCATATGGAAGGTATTGCTTCAGATCATGAAGCATCCAGTTTGCTATATTTTCAGTTTTACCTCATATCCTGAGTTTTCCACAATTTAGGGTTTTTTATAAGAGGTTGGTGGTGGTATTGGTTATTAAATAAAGTTGGATTTAAAAAAAAATCACATTGTCTCATGTGTTTAACATTTCTGAAGAGCTTCTTTTAATCTAGAAGTTTGCTCAGTGCTGCCATGAAGTAAATAATTGTAAGAATGTTGCAGATCATTTAAACAAAAAAAAAAACATGAATCAAGTGAAAGTTTAATTGGGTTGAAGAGTTTCTCATTCAACCCCTGTCAAATTTTTTTCAATCAGCTGTCAAATCCAATTTTAAAATTAAATTATATTAGTTAAATGGCATTCAGGCCTATAAACAGCAACCTTGATAACAGTGATAAAAGTGCAGCTAGAAGGATTTGTTATTCAGAATATGAGGATATTGCAAAGAGCCCAGAGATCTAAAATGTGTACATTGGATGTTAGATGTTTCTGTATTTTATATATATCTGAGCTGTCTTTAGTGTTCAGGGTAAACAGGTGGTGTATATTCTAGACTAATGTATAATGGCAAAACAGAGACAGAGCGGACCGGTTTGATGCAAATGCCTCAACGTGTAGCTTCTATTGCTTCACCATTCGCAGGTTCAAAAACAAGAACACTATAGTGGATAGGAAAGGGGCTCCAAACTGCTTTGCTGAATCCAAACAGGCTTTAGACTTACGGGTCTCATTACAAATAGACATGAATGACACTGTTCACATTGGCACTGCAGCTTCCCGGAAAAGAACTACGGTACATAAAAAACAAAACCCTAAGTTACCCAAATCTATCTAATCTCAACTGCTAGCACTATTCGATAGCGCTTCTTAATGACCCCCCATAATGGATTTATGCTATGGCCTAAAATATCCTTACCTATTTAATGCATTTGAATCGAGCCAATGCGTGAACAAACATACCTATGGATAGGGCTGGGTATTGTTAGGAACCTCACGATTCAATTCGATGCAGATTATTGCTGTTGTGATTCAATCCGATCCGATGCAATTCGATTCGATTCAGTGCTGATTTCTGAAGCCCTGTGACTCCAGGAGTTTTAAGAGCAGACTGGGATGCCAAGTTGTGCACATGGGCAAAGCAGCCAACATGTAATAACTCAGTGATATCGACAGCAACTAGCATGTTGGCAGCATTTTCTATAACAACAGCGGCTACTTTTCCGGTTATGCCCCATTCGTATATTGCCTCCATCAACATGTTCGCTATGCCTCCATCAACATGCTCCCTCTCTGACTTCCGTGAAGCGGCCTGGTCTGAGGCACCTTTGAAACTAATTCCCACTCATTTGATATGAAATGAGAAGTGATGGTTATGTAGGGGTCAGTCGCTCTCAAAGTCCAGCCATCGCATGTCAGCGTGACTCTTTCAGCAGCCTTTAGCGACTCCCACACAGCCGTCTTCACCTCTGTGTACAGTGCCAACAGCGCCCCCAACGGTCAGGAGGTGAATAGATTCTGAGGGGCTCCCGCATCGATTATGAATTTTGCATGTAATAATTGCAATGCATCGATTATTCACTTATTTTACCCACCCCTTCCTATGGACCATTTAGGTAGAGATCAATTACCCTAAAAGTCAGGTTTTTCGGGCTGTGGAAGGGGCTGAAGTACACAGACAAAACTCAGTAATACAAAAGGAAAAACAAAGAAAAACTATCTGCACGACCTTCTGGCTGGAAAGCAACAGTGATATCAAGTGCACCGCTGTGCAGGCGTTAGCTGATAGAGGACGAATTAGCACCTTAACGGTCTAAAACTGTGCCCTTGAACTCAAATCCTCGAGGGCCTGACTCTAATGGCTAAACTACCTCACAAGATCTGCAGAGCTTTAGTAGTTAGATTGCATTAGAGTCAGCCACAACCTCGTCCAACACGATTTTCTGTCGGATCGGATTCGGTGTGTTCTGGCCTTAAAGAACAAGGAGCTATCGGTGGACTTTTGCAGAAGCAGATCCACCCCACTGACACCAGTGAACATCCAGGGAAATGATATTGAGATAGTGGAATCTTATAAGTACCCAGGTGGTGATCTGAATAAAAAACTGGACTAGACTCACAACACTGACGCTCTGTATACGAAAGGTCAGAGCAGACTCTTCCTGCTGAAGAGACTGAGGTCTTTTGAAGTGCAGGGAACGCTCCTAAAGACCTTCTACGGCTCTGTTGTGGCATTAGCCATCTTCAATGGAGCTGTCTGTTTGAGGGGCTTATCTGTAGCTGAGAGAAAGCAGCTGTGTAAGCTGTTTAGGAAGGCCAGCTCTGTGATTGGATGGCCTTTGGACTTAGTGCAGGAGGTGGGAAACAAAAGAATCCTAACTAAATTAACAACTCTATTGGATAATGTTTCACATCCCATGCAGGAAGCTGTTGCAGAACTGGAGAGATCCTTGAATGACAGACTGCTGCACCCTAAATGCACCAGGGAGCGTTATCACAGATCCTTCCTCCCAGCAGCTGGAAGACTCTGTAACCACCACTGTTCTCAACAACCTCAATAAGCTGTTACATTCATGCAGAGTTTTCACAGTTTCTATCGTAGTCAGTTAAATAACATGCTGCTGTCATTTTGCACATCTCTGATGTTGCTAATTTCAAATATCCATTACTGTAAAAAGAGCCATAGCTGTATATTGGTTATTTATTCTCCAGGTGCAGTTTTTAATATTGTTAAAACACTTTACTGTACAGTATTTTATTGTATATCTTTTAACTATTCACTACACATTTCTAATTTCCACATTTGTGTGACCCTTTTTTCTATCGTTCTAAAGGGTTAGTGCTTAGTGGGGGGTGTGGGATTGGGTCCAACAGGGTGGTAAGAGCACCCTGGGGTGAGAGATGCATCAAAAATGGCTTTTTTAATGTTATTTTAAAGATCCTATACCAGCAGCGTCTGTTAGTCAGATGACACTCAAATGCGCATAAACCCAGATACTTA